AGGGTACTAAGGTTTTTAGTACATGAATCTTCCTGTTTTTATCTCAATTGACTTGGTGTCAGCACAATATTGATAAAGGAATCCTGTTCCGATGCTCTAACTCCTACGTGATCTCCTAAACATTCAAGCTTCCTTGTGCGTACTGCTAAGGAGAGGAATTCTTTGCCAGAGTCTGTATTTCCTGAAAGGTATAACCTAGGCGTCTTCAAGGCCCGAGTGAATAGGTTGCTTATGGGACAACGTGCTCGCATCGTAGACCGCATCATCGCTTACCACCAGGCGAGATAGTGGTCAAACATCGGCCCATCAAATATAAAAAAAATATGGATCTAATTCCTCTTAATACAGAGGTTCTCTTGTTTATTTCAAGATACCAGATCACCTCACCTGCTTATTTAAGGAGGTCTCTATGGACACCCTCTGCTCCATCTAGCGAGAGATCGCTCCTCACTTCTGTATAACCTTAATATTTAGGAAGTTCCGATAACATATTCGCTACAGTTATTGTGGATAACGCATTTATTCGGCTCATGCACTACGCATGACTCACGGGAGATATATGTACACGATGCTTAAAGTGATATATATTCAATGTGATCATGATGACAGGTAAAGGTGCTTCCTCACCGGGAACATTCGCGTGTAATGCAGTAGCACGAGCACCTTAAGTATAATGACAAAGTGAAGAAAATCATAATTATTACTTGGTAATATTATTCTATTATGACGTTGTTTAATATTTAGACTGCATCGATTAATTAATTGGTCGCAAGTTTGACTATCAAATGAGAGATGTCGGATCATTATGTGCTAAAATATTAAAATGAAAATAGAATGCAAACTAGTTTATATTCTCGCCACTAGTGGCGCTGTCTTTATTTGTATCGAGCTATGTATTTATTTTTAATCTATGGTAGTGTACTGTACGCGTCTTTGAATGATACTGTTTGATAGCCGGGTTTCATGTTGATACTGTACCTCATGTAACACCAATTGTACACATGATATGCAATAAAAGAATTTGAATTTGAATTTGATTGGAACTGATCTCAGAAATAAACTTATTTGTACACTATTACACAGTTTTACACTCTAGAACCACATTTTCCTTTATTATGTCTATGCAGTTTTACAATAAATTTCTCAGTATTTATAGCTTTGGGACTCGAACTGTGCTGTGTATAATAGAACCCTATTACATAGAACTTAAAATTCATAACGCAAATAATGAAAATTGGATGTTACGTCGTTTATTTGCACTTCAATCCTTTTTGTTTTGGAGCGGTTGGAAGGCAGAGGTGATACTTATTCAATACAAACCTAACCTTCTTTTTTACCAGGTTCGTCAGGCATGACTTCCTCACTCAAAATGAGTCTCTAACACACAAATAATACAGTTCCATTTAACATTTACAGGTCTTTTGATGTAATTTAGCAAGCTCGAACATTCGACCTTCAAGATAGGATAGGTCGGAATCGCAACACTATCGATACAAAGGCGATCAGTCGGTCCCCAGTGCATCATATAATGTATTAATATTATTATATGAATGTGCCGCGTATCAACAAGTTTGGAGGACGAAAGGAGAACTGATAACGAGTGAACTTTATATCTTACGTTCTGGTATCGTGATCGAGATACTTGAACTAACGATTTTACGACGATTGTAATTTAAACTTTGTGCTAATGTAGCTTGATAGTATTTTTTAGAAGTTGTTTTGTTAAAAAATGTTTAAGAGACTTTCAATAAATGATCCACAAATTGTTGTTTCTGGTCTGGGTGTCATTGTGTATGTGATATTGTTTGTTTGTAAACGCACCCACGACACAGGAGAAAATCCTAGTGTGGGGCAACGTTTTTTTAAAAAAGAAAGAAAAGGAAAGAATAAATATGGTGATTAGCTGATATCTAAGCTTATTACAAAGAATTTTGTTACAAAAAATATTGTTATTTAAGAATGTTTTTCTTTTATTTTCTTTTTGTTAAATTCCTGTATTGTACAGTACCTAACCAATAATATTTATGACTAGAATATGAATAAAAACTTGTTATTTTCGCTTTTAAGAGCGCCATAACTTCACTATCACTACATAGTATAAAACAAAGTCGCTATCCCCCATCTGTCTTTTCCTATGTTTAGATCTTTAAAACTAAGCAACGGATTTTGATGCGGTTTTTTTTAATAGATAGAGTGATTCTTAAGGTTTATATGTATAATATAAATGTTATAAGCGCCTGCTAGAAAAGTCACACAATAAATAAATACAATCTTTTCCATAACATTATGCCGCCATTTTTCAAAAGGCGCCTCTAAACAAATGTGTGAATAAAATACAACAAACACTTAGGTGCTATAAGAAAATTAATAAATTATACTTGTACTAAATTTGGGTATATCACAAAATATAAATATTACACGTGACTCATAACATAAATATTGAAAACTGGGTGTTACATTGTAAGAACGTAACATACATAACATCACGCCTTTTATTCCCGAAGGGGTAGACAGAGCACGTTATGCCACTGTACAATGTAACAGCCACTTTTCACTACATATTTATGTTATGAGTCTCATGTAATAGGGGGTGAGCCTATTGCCATATACTGGGCGCAATTCCAGACTCCGTTGTACTACTGAGATTTTTTTTAAACCCAGTAATACTTTGCCGACCCAGGAATCGAACCCAAGACCCCTTGCCTGGCAGTAGCACTTGCGACCACTCGGTTGGCCGAGGCAGATTGTAAGTACAGTGGCATTAAATACTGTAATGTGCACCCCTGTCTAATCTAACCCTTCAGGAATAAAGGGCATGATGTTATAGAATTATAATTTGAGTTCATATAATATAAAGTGAAACTTACCAAATACCAGTTTCTAAAACTAAATCGACAGTCTCGGGCAACTCTAACCGGAAACCTGGAACATAGATAACAAATAATTAACGCTTGAGTACATTAAACTTCATTTTGAATTGAAATAATGGCGCTCCGGAAGTCCCATTTGGAAATGACATCACAAGTGCTGCTAATAATTTCTTTAATTTACACTTCATGTGCTTCATACCTACGTACAGACTATCATTTATAATCGTACATAGGGTAGATGCCTAATTTTTATTTTAATGTCCGTCTGGTAGATTATTTTAAATCATTAGACACGTATTTTTTATTTTCTTACAGTAACGAATACTTTCGACGATATATTGATTTGAAATGTCGCGTGACGTCACTTCTATGTACATTTTATACGTAAGAAATGACATTTTAGCCCCCACTCCTAAACTTTGATTCGTTTTACCTAAGTATTGTTTTATTATACGACAAAATAAAAAAATACGTGACTAATATTTTTTGATGGCTTGGCCCCGAAAAAATCGAATCCGAGTATGGGCTGACTTAAGTGGTGGGATAATTTTTATACCGATTAAATGCTCCCATGGGATAAAACAGGAATACGCGGGCAAAGCCGCGGGTAAAAGCTAGTTTCTTATATTTGTAACTACTTAAATCTTAACCATTCTTTGCTTTTGCTTAACTAATGGATTAAACTCAGAATGTTGGTTTGTTAACGTTACTTTGTTGAGAAGTAAATAGATCAATGTGAATATAATTTACACATTGCACTAAACCAACTAGATACAATGTAATAACTATTTGTCCTTACCGTCAGTAATTATCCTCTGTATAATGCTGGCCATGTCTTTCACTTCTGCAGCGTAGAAGTTGTCTCCGCTGTACGGGCTTATTCCTAAATCTGTACGCATTTTGTTAAGGGATTATTTCACGATATTATTATGATTTGAAACAACACAAAAACTGAAAGACCTTAAGGATAAATGCCGATAAATCATCTGAATTTATATAATGATAAATAAATTATGGACTGTCAGTAAATTAACAAAATAACTATTATAATTAAGTAGGTATTTACTTAATTTTCTGTGCATGCATAAAATATAGATAAAAAAAGTAGCATTGCAAATTATAAATCGAATGCAGCGCCTAAATTTTCTTTATAGCAACCCACATATCTGCACATTGCAGAGAAAAATTGGTATAATGATTTTAAAAGTTAGCTATTATTATTTTACAACTAGGCTATTGCTATTGCACGGGCCTGCGGACGGCGAGCATGGGTGACTCGCCGCCCGACCAGAACCAGGCCCGAGCGTACGGCGCGTCGCGTTCCGCGCGCGCCTCAAGGAGCCATCAGACCACCACAGATGGGGCCTAACAAGGCTGATGCCGATACGGAGCCGCGGAAGACTTAACGGGTTGCCGGGGCTCCGGTTCGAAGTGCAGGTGTAGGAACGGGGTGGTTTTTAGTCAGTAAGAGTCTGACACTCCCTTCCGCCTCACCCAGGCGGGAGAAGTCAGTGGATGATTTTCCCCCCTCAAAAAAAAAAAAGGCTATTGCTATTGTGTCAGCTTCAATTATGAGATTATTAAAATTACTGAACAGATATAATTATAGTATGTTCTAATTTGTTAACGTCAAGGATAATAGTTGTTGCTGCAGTTACCTACTTGACGAGATAAATATCAATTATTAGTAAGTGGACGTTTTTTCCTAATCTATATATTCTATAACAAGACGGAAGTTGAGATAATAAATGAAAAAGTAGTATTACAGATGGACAAGTTAATTGAAGTGTTTCGACTCTATCAGAGTTATGCCACGGCCTCACAGCAAACCCCGCGTGAAACCACGATTGCGTTGCATTTCGCCGTGTGAGTAAAGTTACCGGAGGCCCAATTCCACCTTAATTAAGCTCCCCATCCCCAAATCCTTAACTCTCAAAAGGCAAACGCACTTGTAACTCCCCTGGTGTTACAGGTGTCCATGGGCGATGCCGATTGCTTACCATCAGGCACGCCTGGCAAACTGGCAGATGTATCACGATACATCTGCCAGTTTGCCAGCTTATTGCATAAAAAATGTACATAAATCAAAATAATTTCATTTGCAAAAGGATACAGTTGAGCATATCTAACAGTGAGCCGGGGTGGTCTGGCGGCGGCGGAGGTGGTGGGACCGCGCGCGCCCCGTTGACGGCACGCAGCGTGTACGCGCGCACATACTCCTTGCGGATGTCGTGGAAACGCGCGTAATACGTCGGTAGAGTGAGGTCCTTGCTGCAAGCTTCGGGGTGGAGACATTGTCTAGAAAAAGGAGAAGATAAATAATAAGTCGTTTTTTCATTATAATGGAACAGTCAATTCGGCTAGCACTCTGTCTCTTATGTGCATAGCAGAAGATAAAAAGAGATGACCTTAGATATTATGTTGTAGATCCAGTGTTTTAAATTGAACACAATTCTAAACTCTTTGATGGACTGCCTCATTGGCCGAGCTACTACTGAGTTTTAATAAAAAACTCAGTAGTAGCACGGAGTCTGGAATTGTGCCCGGTATATAGCAATAGGCTCACCCTCTATTACATGGGACACATAACATAAATAGTTGAAAGTGGGTGTTACGTTGTACAGTGGCATTAAGTGCCGTAATATACACCCTCTGTGATAAAAGGCCTGATGTTATGTAATGTTTAATCTGAACTATGTAATTTTAAGCGAATTTTTTTACCCGACTGAAGTAAGTTCTTTTCTTTACGTTACCGCATTTACCCTCTGATTGGTTGGTTAATTTGGATTTGAATCAAATCGCTTAACGTCAATATCGTGTCGATCTTGTTAACGTAAAAAATACACGCACTCGTAGGGCCTTTCTACTTAAAAATCAAAGATACTATCAACCACAAATATTCTTCTTTCTTCCATCAAAAATGCATAAATCATAATAAGAAAAGGTAACATCACAATTCACATAAAAAAGAAATTCAAACTAGAAAAGAGATCACGGGTTCACCTCGGAGTTTTAACACCTAACCTATTCAAAGAAAAACGACAGAAAACATTTAGAATCTATAGAAAAACTCGTCATACGATCGAAATCAATGCAGATCAGTAAACAGTCATGCTAACGCCTTTATTTCTATGCAACCTTTGAAATGACGCTGATGATTGTCATCACAGATTGTTATCTAGGTAAAATTATGGTGATGGCGTGTCGAGTATGACCTTTGATCTACGGCATTTATTACTGTCGAGTTTGGGGAAACGAAATTACGGTACGGATGAATGCTTCGGGCTTGTGTACATTGAGTTGGACGATACGTTATTATGAGAATTTTAATACCTTTTATGCAAAGAACTGTATAGCTTGGATGTCAACATGGGTGTCTTTTGAAGTCAGGATCGCTTTCTTAAACTTCAGATCTATGTATTATATTACGGTTGGACTCTTCGACGACTCTTTTTTAAAATATCTACAGAAGTAACGAACTAAATATCTTGACTTTATAGCCGTATTACTATGTAACGTTTAAGTGTGGCAGAGCCATGCTTCGGCACGAATGGGCCGGCTCGACCGGAGTGATACCACGGCCTTACAGAAAACCGACTTGAACCAACGCTTGCGTTGTGTTTCGTCGTGTGAGTGAGGTTACCGGAGGCCCAAGTATCTATTAAGGATTTAATGAATAATTTTGTATAGAACTTATGGCGCCGACTTCTGACCTCAGTGGGTGGGTAACCTATCAGTACTAATGATAGTAATTGTATTCTTATTAGTGTTGACATTTTTTGTTATAAGTTTTTGGTATTTTGAAGTCGGTTATAACCCGTTGAGTACCGTCATTATAGACACAATTAAAGAACAATAGGTTGCGGTCACCGGTGTCCTCGCGGTGTTTGACAGTTTAAACGCAGTTTTTATTTTATTATGAGAAGTCGTGACGTGACGGATGACGGTGTGCAATGGAAACAGAACATTAAACCGTTGTTATGTTTACCGGATGTGCACAGATTGGCATCAAGTTTGGGCCTTTGTAGTTTTTTCTTGTTACCCGACTGACTTGACCCAGTCTCAGATCTTTTGCTTAATGTAGAAACAGTTTTTTGTTATGTCCATGCATGGAGGTTATTTTGATTTCGAACTTGCATTCATAAATATGCAAAGATTTATTTTGTCAATTTTGTATAAAAGGATCTTTTTATGACTTATACTAACAATAGGCTCACCCCCTATTACACAATAGGCTCACCCCCTATTAAATGGGACTGATAACATAAATAGTGAAAAGTGGGTGTTACATTTTACAATTCGTTTATTAAACGCCTACGCTAGATGGCGCTAGACAAACGCTACTGTGAAAAGGCTCTTAAACTTTTCAAAAAGAGTAGAAAACCTTATAACTTCTCATTGTAAAGTTCAACAACCATTGTTAGTATAAAAATAAACTTTATAGGTAAGGAAATTCGGTTTAGAATGCAGTTTGTAAATGAAACTTACCTCAAAGGTGGTTGTCCATCTGTCACTAGCCTGAAGAGAGGTGAGTGAGGGTCCACTTGCAGCGATCTCACGAACTCATCGAACTGAAACGTAGAGAAACAAAAATTAATCTTAAAATCATAGAATTAAAGTTGCTTTTTCAGGTAAAGAATCTTGATATTGAAGAAATGAGGTGATTTTTTTCAGTAAAACAGACGATGCATAGTTATAGTGAAAGAGGAATTATTGATTAATGATTTTGTTAGTTACAATAATCGTTTGGGACTAGCCCGGGAAATAAATTGTAGATCAATGATCAATTGTTGTCTCATTCAGTTAATTGGCAGTTTTAATGTTTTTATTTAATTTTATCTAGTTATAACTAGCTACTTCCGCACGGTTTCACTCGCTCTGCTCGGCGCCTATTAATCGTAGCGTAATATTTTATAGCCTATAGCCTTCCTCGATAAATGGGCTATCCAACACAGAAAGAATTTTTTTTTAGGACCAGTAATTTCGGAGATTATCGCGTTCAAACAAACAAAAAAAACAAACTCTTCAGCTTTATAATATTAAGTATAGATAAAATGTACAAACAAATTAGTCTGTCAATTTGTTTAGTACATATTTAGCGTGTATCCACTGACCTATGGGCGGTGAGTCATTAAATTATTTTCAAAATAAATGTAGACAAACAAACTATATTTTAGTTTCTTGCTGGCTTGAAGCAGAATTTCCGTTTCTTCAAACTATATTTAAAAGACAAAATTTAACCACAATTTTGATCAAATTAATGTTTCCTATTGTAAGTAGTTCAAAATGCTCACAGTATTTTGAAACACTGTAAAAGAAATGGAGATTATATCTAGAAAATAACAGTAACTGCATTTTTAATATGTTGATATATCGTACCGAAAATTATTTCATACAAAAGTAGTATCCAAACATCGGAAATAAGGTCTATAATAGAGTTAGTGGAGAGTGGTCACCGGGGACTACTTGGGGATTGAACAGTTGAATCAGATACATAAGTATGTAGGTACGTAACATATATAGAGGTAATGTAAGAGTAAAGAAAGATAAAATAAGTAGACGCGAAAGTTTAAAAAATCGGTAAAGGTGAAATAAAACTTATAAAATAAAAGTATTTAAAAGTAACAGTACAAAAATAAACCAATAAATTTCAAAACTAACAACTAAATCTTTAAATCCAGTAGTCACTAATTGGTTTTGTGGTTTTCGGTGTTGAGTGACAACTGTGGCCGGGCGTCGAACCCGGGAATGTACTGTTAGGAACAGGTTACACAGTACCTGTCGTGAGAGGTAAATACTGTTGCACTTCCGTGAATTTATGTTGCAACGTACATACATACCTACTTTTATATATATTTATATCAATACTGACTTGTACCAAAGACTATCAAAACCTTTATAAGCTGTGCCTCAATGCTTGGATAAAAGTACTTTATGTGATTTTGCAGATTATAATCTACTAGCGACCTGCCCCAGCTTCGCACGGGTGTAATATGCATATATTATTCATATAAACCTTCCTTAAGAATCACTCTATCTATTAAAAATCGCATCAAAATCCGTTGCGTAGTTTTAAAGATCTAAGCATACATAGGGACAGACAGAGGGCGGATAGCGACTTTGTTTTATACTGTGTAGTGATGACTGTGCCAAGTTTCATCTTAACCCGTCCAGCCGTTTCGGCGTGATTTATTAACATACACTCCAAATACCCAAAGCTAATCCTTCACATTTTAACAAGCTTCTACAATTCTGCTATTCAATTAAGACTTTGACTGCCAATACTCACACACACACACACACACACACATTCAAACATGTTTACAACAACCATAGGTAGACTTGGTTGTGTTAATATGTACTTAGGGCATTTCTGTTTTTTATTCAATTTCTTCTTTTTTAATATTTTTTTATTTTTCGTAAACTCCTAATGTAATTTATTTTTCATTGAATATTAAAACTTATATCAACAGAAACTGGTAAACTAATAAAAAAGACAAACTCAGAGGTTAGGAGGCTAGGAGACCCGTAACACAGGCTCTGCTTAGTACGGGCTCCTGTCCCCCATTAATTGATGAATTAATGAACATTTGTTAAGTTTGTTGTTACGTACTTACCTAAAATATGTTTTTTACCTGTTATGATTTTATATATTATGTAACAAATGGGAGAAAAATAAATAAACAAATAAAAGTTAAAAAAAAAAAATGTTGAAGATAAATCCTCCGCTAACGCCGGTCGCCGGTGACCCCCATGGCGTTTAACGTGTTAATAAGACAATAACACTATGAGAATAACTATGCTGGTGCATACTACAATTTATGTGTGTGTGTGTGTATGTTTTTCATGAGCTTTCTAAAATTAAAAAAAGGTTGTATTTTATTCCGTTAGTTTTTCAGGGTCAGGAGATCGGAACCTAATGCTTCATCGAGAGAAATCTTTTAAAAAAATCGAGAGGTCAGACGCTCGAACAAAGTCATTTCCTAAATCTTTTGAGGAAGCCAAAAAGTGTACCTATCTACTGCAATCGACCCCAATCACGTACTTTCGTACGAAAAGCCGGATCTCTCTCTCTACGACGACAATTTTCACTTCAAACAACACATGACACTAGACTAGTAAGACTTATGTAAATACATAATGATAAATGCACTTTAAAAAAAAATCTCAGTCAGTAGTGGCACGGAGTCTGGAATTGTGCCCGGTATGCTCTCCTCATATTACATGGGACTCATAACATAAATAGTGAAGTGGGTGTTACATTGTACAGTGGCATTAAGTGCCGTAATGTGCACCTCTGCCTACCCCTTAGGGGAAAGGCTAAGGCTAGCATAACGGTGACGTTATGTTTGTAATCTAAATTCGAAGTTAAATCCATTTAAGGTCAGTCGATTCTCATAGCACCTGCAGGTAGAGTAGGGCCTTTACTATGTATTCTACTCTAACTTCAAATACAAGAACAATTGGGTATGTTCCTTAATCCTTACTATCCTTACTAGTCCTTACTAATATTATAAATCGGAAAGTGAGTTTGTTTGTTTGTTCCACTTTCGCGCCGTAACTACTAAACCGATTGCTTTGAATTTTTGCAGACGTGAAGTTAGAAGTCTGGATTAAATAATAGGGTACTTTTTATCCCGGAAAAATTGATATTCTTGAGGGAAAACGAAATTATTGGTATAGATGGCGCTGTGTGTATTGGTATATGTCACATAGGCTACTTTTTATCCTTTTGTGACGCGAGCGAAGCCGCGGGTAAAAGCTAGTAAATAATAAATTATTTCGACTGTTCAATACAATAAAATATTAAAAAATAATCGCAGTTTCGTTAATTGATTTTATGAGCAGCTTTATTTTAGTATTTATCTAGCAAGTTTTTAACAAATAAGTACGCTGTTTGACGCTAAAAAACGTAACGTCACTATACACAATCTCGTACAAAATTCATAGAAAACTGTAGTTTTTGACAGTTCGAAAAAAGTATTGAATTTTACTAGTTGGCAAGTACACAATTACATAAGCGATACACACAGGTATACACAACATTCCATCACAAACTAAATAAAAATTGAATCAATAACTTAGAACATCTATAAGTTGGCAATATAACACCAAAAATGGCGAATCCAAGTTACGTCACCTATAGAAGAAATATGTATATTTTATGTGAATAATTAAAAGGAATCATTGACACTAAATTGAAATGTAAAACATCATTTAGAGTACGTTGATCTCATCTGCCAATCTCGTTTTGTTACAAGCTGTACGGCGGTAAGAAAGTCTCTTTCTTTAGAGATGAGATGGACGGTCGGTAACTAGGGGCAACATTTTGACTCAGATCTTATTACCTACTTCTAGTTTTATATCGCACCGGGAATAGGTAGTTCTACGCTGTTTTATCGGCTGCTTGACTCCATTTCTTTAACATGAACATTTTTTAAATCGTATTGTTCCAGAGATTTATACGTGTGCAAATAAACAAACGAACTCTTTAATACATATTAGTAGTTAGTAGTATAAGTAGATTATATCTCTAGTGACCAGGTCTACGATCGATAGGACATTCAGACTGATTAGTATGCGACCATCATAATGCTTCATAACCTTTAAAAATCTGACCACGGTTCTAAAACCAAAATGTGTAATCATTGTCACCATATCACATAAAAACCCCAAACTAATTGGCAAAAGGATTATTTAGACGGATACGACTTTAAACGTCAGTAGCGCCATCTGATAAGAGCAAAAAATTTGTAGACTACTTACTTGCAGCCATTCAACCAACGATTAACAATTATTAGCAAAAATCTTAATAAAATTAACTACTATATCGAATCAACTTGATTCAGATACTTTTAGTGTTACCATTTTTTAAATAAATACAGTTACAACTGCATAATAAACAGGTTATTTAAACGAAGGGCGAACTTGATAATCTGGACCAAGTCAGGTTAACTTCCTTACAACAAAACAAAGAAAAATCACCTGTATCCCAATTACGTAAGGTTCTAAATAAATAAACGATCGTACTTTAATCATAATAGCCTTCATTACAATGGCATAAGGTCGCTGTCAGTTTAATTTAAGCTTTGCACATTTTTGATCGTTAAAAACTGATCGATTTTTGAAATGACAGGTAGGGAAGCTTGTTTTCAAAGAGGTCTTGTCAATTTTGATGAAGTTGTTATATTTTATTATATTTTCTACCTACTTATTATAGTTTTTAAGGAACCCCTAAGCTAAGATAGGTGACATTAAACGCCATTTTGGTTTTTACTAATCTGCAAGTGACACCCTATTTTTAATGGGTAAAAATCTTGTAATGACTTCTCCCGCCTGGGTGAGGCGGGAGGGAGTGTCAGACTCTTACTGACTAAAAACCGACGCCGATTGCTTTAAAAAAAGTACTTACTAAGTACTAAGTACCCTTAGTCGCTTCATACGATACCATCGGGAAGGGTAGTTTTTTTTTTTTTTAAGGGGGGAAAATCATCGAATGACTGCTCCCGCCTGGGTGAGGCGGAAGGGAGTGTCAGACTCTTACTGACTAAAAACCACCCCGTTCCTTCTC